CATTACGATTCTTCTAGAGCATTCATGATCACCGGTTAGTACTCAATCTTCCTCTCGCTCTTGTCTTAAAGTTGTTCGAGACATGAAAATTTGTTTTTTCTTGATGTGTGAATTGTTTGTGTTCGTTGTTTCAGATTTTATAGATTTAGGGTATATTGTTGTGTGAATTCAGAGACTTTTATGGGTTTCTCTGAATGAGAATTTTTTTTTTATTCTTAAGGTTTTTGATTCTGGATGCAGATATCTCCTCTCTTCTCGGGTTCTAGATAAGACGACGGCTTTGAAGATTGAAGTTTTCAGATTGTGTCCATGCTCCTTGTTTCAATCCCTTTTCCGAGCAATCATATTTTGGATTTAAGCTAAAGAATTCATTCTCCATGTGAGTTTATTCCTCGATAGTCTTAGACTCTTAGGACTTTGGTTCTCTTTAGTTTATATAAAGATCTTAATGAGTTGGTTTTTTGCGTGGGATATTTAAATAATCTAGTTTGGATTAGATAATTATAAGCTGCACTCTGAGTTTGCAATATTACGTCCTTCATTTCCTTGTTCACTGGTCTTTCATTTGTTACTTGCTGATAATTATGGACTTTTGTCTTTTGATGGGTCAAGATAATCACTAAACCAAAAAACAGAGGATCTTGATTCAAAAATTTTGTTTAAAGTGTCAAGGAACTAAAACAGGTTAAATACATTTTGTTTTAACGACAGATTATTTCAGTGTCAAGGAACTAAAACAGGTTAAATACATTTTGTTTTAACGACAAATTGCAGTGTCCTCAAGATATGATAATCTAAGATATGATGACACCTACGGTTTTTGCAAGTTTTGATTTTGTAGTTTCATTGTTTTGCACCAACAGTGCACCAAGAACCTGAAAGAGACTTTGCATTAAGATGTCAAGCGAACTAGACATCCTAGACAAGCTCAAAAATATCTTTGGGTTTCAAGTAAGACATTATATATGTTAAAAGCTATATTTGGTTTTTGAGCAATAATATTATATTGCATGTGCTGATTAGTTGTTGTGATATATATATGGCAGGAACAAAATGTCCAAAATCAAAGAATTCACATGATAAATTTACTTTTCCATCGTCATCCGGATTTATATGTAGACTCGTTTTTGAATGTGGATTTGAAGACTTTGGATGCAGTGATGAATAACGTCATAAATAACTACATTGCATGGAGGAACGCTATCTTGTTGCCATCTACATCTCTTCACATTGAAGAAGAGAACGACACAACTAAGAAGCTGTCGTACTTGGGGCTCTATCTGTTAATATGGGGAGAAGCTTCAAACCTCAGACTCATGCCCGAATGCCTCTGCTATATATATCATCATGTAAGGTTCAGTTTATTTGTTTTCCTAGTTTTTTTTTCATCTTCAACTCTTTCTAACCCAACCGTTAGACAAATACAATAAGATTTTATTGCTCATCATAAAGAGCTCGAAATTATACCTTCTTTTTTGTGTGTTAAATTTTCTGAATAGAAAGATGTTAGGGACTTATGGAGATTAATACATTGTATAATGGCTATCTTGGATATCTCAATTTTTCACTTGTGACAAATCGAAGTTATTTTAATTTTCCGTATTTGTTTAGATGGCTTCTGAGTTGCCTAAGATTTCGGAAGACAACCCTAAATTGGTATGTAATGATGGAGATGAAGCAGCCTTCTTGCGTAAAGTGGTGACTCCGATATACAACACAATTGCAAAGGTTGGTTGCTGATCTTGTCTTCTCTAGGTTGCCTCACTCATTATGTTTTTTTGTTTTAACTTAAATTTGTTCACTATAGGAAGCAAGAACAGGTAGCGGAGGGAAGCATTCCATTGCAAGAAACTATGATGACCTCAATGAATTTTTTTGGTACAGTAGAGTGTATATCCCTCATATATCATCTTATAAATAGCCATTTAAAAGGTGTCATAATCAAAAATCTTTTTACCTTCAAATTTATAGGAAAAGTGAATGTTTGCAACTAGGGTGGCCGATGGACACTGCTCATCCATTTTTTGGTAAACACTCTTTTATTTAAAATTTTGTTTCCCTTTCTTTCTTTTTTGTCTTGAATACATTGATTACTTTTTTAATACAGCTCAACAAGTTGGAAATGACGAACTTCAGGTATGGGTATGATACGTTTATGAAGTTGGGAAAATTTTAATTATAGAGTTTTGGAGCTATTCTTTCTTGCAATTGGTTTTGGGATTTGTCATTATTGAATTAAGTTTTTTTATTTTTTATTAAGTTTTTGTGGCCTATATACTCAGTCATTATTAATGATTATTGATTAATGGTTGATCTCACATGTCGACAAAGTCAATTTTGTTGAGAAGCGCTCTTTTCTGCATCTATTTAGAAGTTTTCAAAGAATGTGGACGTTCTACATCATTTGTTTGCAGGTACCACTAGCTTTTGTTTAATTTTTAAAGTAGTATATTTTGCTAACCAGTTATATGTTGGTGGAATATATGGAATTTTGTTCAGATAATGATCACAATTGCTTGGAACGAATCCGGAGCTTTGTCCGACATCTTTCAACTCCAAAACATATAACGCACATTCATCATATTTGCTGCATTAGACTTTGCACAAGGTGAGATTTGTATAAGTTACTTATTTTGATTTTTTCTCAGCATATGATAATAGATTTACAACAGCTTATAATGTCTCCATACTGACAAACTTGGCCTAACATTTTTCAGCTATCTTCGACATATATCTCAGCTGGAAAGAAAGACATCGCATGTCAACAAATGTTAATTGTCAAATACATTTTGATGGCAGTGATAGGGCCGGCTCTAGTTCTTGGATTAACTCAACTTTCCGGCTATCCTCTCATTGTGGTAATTGTGATCCAGTTAATCCTGAAGATATTTCCGGCGTTGATTTTCTGTTGGCCATCTCTTCAAAGGGTGAATGTATTGATGTGGTGGTATCAGGTATTTTATGTATATATATCCTATATAAATAAAATGTCACTTATAAATATTAATCATGATTTTTTGGTTAAACAGCCTCAGCTGTATATTGGAAATGATATGCGTGAGAACACGTCATTCGTAAAGTAAGTACACAAATCATGGTAGCATGCTTAATAGGGTTGAAATTTTGATGGATTATTTCTTGCATTGCCTAATGATAGGATTTGTGAATGATTTATTTTACAGGTACCGAATGTTGTTCTGGATTGTTCTGTTAATTCCAAAGTTTGCATTTAGTTATTATGTAGAGGTACAAACCAAGTTTTAATATACACTCTTTTCACACGTAAGTACTTTCTCTTTCTCATAGTAGTTATTTTTAAAGCAGATTTTGCCACTTATTGCTCCAACCAAAGAAATCATGCTTCTAAATATCTCTCTGGACCGTTTGCCAAAGTTGTTTCCTCCTGGTAATGGTTAATGACATTTTGGTATACGCTTGTTTTTTTAATTCATATTGTTGATAATGTTGCTGTTTTGTTTTGTCTTCTCAGTTGTAAATAAAATAGCTCTCGTGTTCAGTCTCTGGTCACCTACAATTCTAGTGAGTTTGCTTCTCACTTTTATTGCTATAAGCATCTTTCCTTTGCGCTAACCCCTAATTTTATTGCTTTATGCATCTTTCCTTTGCGCTAACCCCTATTTACTTTCATTTGCAGATTTATTTCATGGACACTCTACTATGGTATGCGACATTATCAACTCTGGTTGGCGGTATGAGTGGGGTTCTTATACGTCTTGGAGAGGTTTGTGTTTTCATTTTACTTTTTGATCACCTTATTTCTTAATGGTGTGATGTTTCTAAAAAAAGAAGTTTATTGCATTTTTAAGTCCAAACACTTGGAATGCTGAAAATGAAATTCTGTTTCTTACCAAACGCAATTAAGGATTGCTTAGTTCCAATTGGTGCCACACAAAGTGTGAACGCTCTGTTCAACCCGATGTGGAACACAATAGTTGCTAGTTTCCGAGAAGAAGATTTGATTAACAATTGGTTCATTCTTATTTTCAGCTTCTTCATTTTGGTATTGGTTGATAAATCCTTTCAGGTAAAAAAGAGTTTAGTGATTGATTTTGTTATGTGTATGTATAGGGAATTGGAACTCATGCTGATGCCGTGTTGGAAGACTCTGGATGCCGCAAAAAAAGAAGTGCCCCGTATCCGCTGGCCAATTTCTCTTGTGGCCAACAAGGTGAATAATATTTTATCTTGTTTTATATTTGTTCTTAATTATAATACGTGCTCGTGTTTAAACATGGTAGATCCCAATGGCTTTAGCAATGGCAAAAGCTAACCAGAATAAACTGCAACGGAAACTGGATGCGGGCACTGACATTTACATGAGTGCTGCAATTCGAGATTGTTATGCCTTTTTTCAGATGATCTTACGCAGTTTGGGCACTGGATTTATAAAATATCCAGAGTACGTTTAAGGGAAGTCCTTGCTTTGTATTCCTTAGCTCGGATAATACATTGTCTTTTCCTAATTTATTTGTCTTGTTCAGGGCCCTTGAGGAAATTTTTACCACAATCGATGGATATGGAAAGAAAGGTACATTGATTTCGAAATTGGATTGGAGCGCTTGTTCTGATTTTTATGACCAATTGGTTAAGCTAACCGAACATTTGGTAAGTGTTTGTAGCTACAAAAGATAATTAACACTAAAATTAAGTCAAATAAAGAATTTAACTTCATCTACTTGAAACAGCTAAACTACGTGAATGAGCCATCGCCAGCCAAAGTGTCATTGTCGAAAACTTCTTTAATCCTTGTCAAGATGTTTGAGGTGATGGAATCACTTATGACAAATGAAAAGTAAGAACATTTTACTTAATCCAAAGTCAATATTTCTTACAGCTCAAAAAAAAAGTTTTGATGTGGTTGGAAAAGCAACAGATTCTTAAGTTTGAGTTTGAAGTCAACATTCATGTGTTAAAATGAACTTGCGTTGAATGACTGATCATTGTTGTTCGAATTCTAGGTTAACAGTGCCAGGGGTAAACTTACATAGCTATCACGACGAAGCTCCATATCTGGTGGACCTTGGCACAGAAGATTGGAAGAAAAATGTAAGTTTCCTCATGCTCTTGCCATATTCTTGTTTCCACGATAGATTTCTTAGAAGTCTCTGTTTTGCTTTCCATTGTCGCCGCGCAGCTCAAGAGGTTCTATCTTTTACTGACACTCAATGATCCTGTGATGAATGTGCCATCAAACATGGAAGCTAGAAGGCGTCTTACATTCTTTTCAAACTCACTGTTCATGGAAATGCCTAGAGCGCCAACAATCAGAAACATGGTTTCCTTTTCGTAGGTTCCTTGCACCTCAAAAAACACTTTGTTTGCCTTCTCCATTTCAGAAATATACAATATCTTAATCTCCGGTTTTGCATTCCACAGGGCCCTGACACCTTATTATTCAGAGGATGTCATTTTCTCCGATGCTGGTTTGAAAGAGAAAAATGAAGATGGAATGTCGATACTCTTTTACTTGCAGAAGAACTTTTCAGGTTTCACTTCTCCTTCTGTTTCCCCAATTTATCTTGTCTCATCCTCTCAACTGAAACTCTATGTGGTTTACCTCAGATGAATGGAAAAACTTTCTGGAACGAGTTGGATGCGACAAAGCGGAAAAAATTGATTTAAGCGATGATTTGAAAGTGGAGCGTCGTTTGTGGGCATCTTACAGGGGTCAAACACTGGCCAGAACAGGTTTGTGTTCTTTCACTTCTTTCTTTTGATCCTTAAATGGAGGAAAATATTTGTCTGAGTGAAATATATGTATGTGATGCGCCCAACCAGTGCGCGGCATGATGTACTACCAAAAGGCCTTGGAGCTTCAGGCCTTCTACGATAGAGCGAGTGATGAAGGTGGCTAAAGGGTCTCTTGTTATGATTATTATTCTTATAATTCATAAGATTCTGTGACAGCTTTTCTCAACCTGTTTTGTTTTTGTTTTGCAAGAATTAATGGAAGGATACGAGTCATCATCCGAGACAATCATGGATGCTTGTCAACAAGTTGTTAAGGAAAAATTCAACTACGTGGTCTCATGCCAGCAATACGGTATTCACAAGGGATCTCAAGACCCACGTGCTGAAGACATACAGAGGCTTCTGACTATGTATGCATTTTTTCATCCTCTTTTTCAGTTAAGTTGGTACTTCTTTATCGGTTGTATTTGTTTAAGCTCGATATTTCATTGTGGCAGGTACCCATATCTGCGTGTTGCTTATGTCGATGAGGAGGTTAAGGGTAACCCACGTGAAGAAGGGACCTTGGAAAAAAATTACTACTCAGTTCTCGTCGGGCCTTTACTAGTTGAACAAGAGATATTCAATGAGGAGGTATATCATTGGAGGCAAATTTACTCTATCACCTTAATTCTTAAACCTCCATGCTGTGGTAACAGTTTTTCCAATGTTTTACATGGAAGACTGAGTTTATATATATATATTTTTTTGTGCAGGAAAGTAATGGAGCCCAATATGCTGCATCTGAAAGGAACAAGGACGAGGAGGTATATCATTGGGGGCAAATTTACTCTATCACCTTAATTCTTAAATCTCCATGCTCTCTTTTTTGGTGATTTATAATTTGTTTATGTTGTGGTAACAGTTTTTCCAATGTTTGTAGTGGAAGACTGAGTT